AGGTATTATATTATCAATTTGCTACAATTGTAACCTAGCTTATCTGATGAAATATTATTTCCTACATTTCAGTTAACATATGAATCCAGATGAATGTGTTGATAGGAGTATGGATTCTCTACCGAATAAACTTCCTCAGTGGATGACTGAACAGAACAAAGTGGATTCTGTTGTTGACAAAAAGGTAGGTTATCCAAATACATGTCTGATTCACAAAGGATACTATAGAAGAAACAAGAAAAAGGGGCAGCTCATGAAGTGCAGTACAGTCTGTGGATCCCCTATGTTTGGCGTTCAGTAATAACTGTTGTCTAGTGGTTTGAGTGCTGATCTATGACTGTGGATATAAGGGTTCGATTCCTTACTTGGTAATGGAAACCCATAGAGTGTCTTTGGACAGGTCAAACATTCTCAGCTCCAGAACATGCTGTGATAGGTTCACCTTAGGTTCACTGTAAGTTGAAATGGAAGCTGCATAACACCAACAAATAAACTGCTTAAACAATCCTGAAATCTGAACTATTCCAAAAACAAAAACTTATTTCAAGGGTGGTTGAGATAGTGCCTGTCACCTTTGCTTTCTGATGGTTCAGTGGTCGCAAACTTGGCTTCATGCATAAAATTATTTAAAATATAATATAAAACTACCTCTGGGCTATGTAGAAGGTGTATATGAAACATAAATGGATTTTGTGTCTAGACTTGAGTCTCATCTCCAAGTTATCTCATTATGTACATATAAGCAAATACTGTACAGGTATTCTAAAGTCAAAAAAAAAAAAAAAAAGAATAATCTGAAATCAAGAGTCCAAGCATTTCAGAAAAGGGGGACTCAACCTGCACCAAATTTAACACTACCATTAAAATTTGTAGGGTGGCAGCAAAATTGCAAACTTTTTCATCGAAAACAAGGCATATGGAGAATGTGTCACATTTTTTAAAGTGAAAGTCGGCTCCTAGAACCATCCTAGAAGTAAGATTCTAATTTAAATGTTTATTTTCATATGTCTTGTTATTAGATGAAACTGTAGCTTTTACAGTTTCTGCATTGCAGTTTTACTGCATCACAAAAATGTAGGCTCACAGTGGAAAGTTATTGTGTCGGGTGGTTTGGATTGGGGCTCAGTGTTCCTCCAACCCTTTGAAATTAGCCATCCCTGGTTTGGATCATTAGTTGTGGTGTTGTTTATTGTAGGGATTAATTTCTGATTAGGAGTAGCATGCAGTTGCTCAAGCTTCCTGATCATTTTCACATATGCCTAAAAATTGTACTATATAAACTTTACAAAATGAAAATGTACTTTTCCATTCATATGGAGCTTGCTTTCTAATTTTTTATTTGCCCTATAAGCAATACTCTTGTAATATGGATAAGAAAACCAATGCATTTTGTCTCATGCAAGTATGAGTGAACCGTTAAATAATTTGTAAAATGTGCCTTACTATAAGCTGTCTTTTTCATTTTTATGAAGCAGAAGAATTCAGCCCATCGGAGCATTCTGGAATACAGCCTTCCATTCTTAGAATTCCATGGCTCTATCGTTTATAGCTATAACACTAGTGATTGTTCCTTACTCGCAGAAGATATCAGGTAAGAGACTGACAAACTGTGTTTGTGTTTTGCAGTGTTCTCTGAGTATTTTTTTAAAATTACTCTTGATGCAGGTTTTCCCATACAGTATTGTTCTGTTTTGCTTTGACCTGATTATCACTGTTCAGTGGTGTGTCTTACATTAATTAATACATTAATTCATCAAAACATTTATACTCGTTCCTCCCAATTTGTGGGTGATCCATTCCAGGACCCTCCCCATCAGAAAAAATGCAAATACTCAAGCCCCATCGGTTATAATAGCCGCACACGTGCCTGAGGCGCACACACCATTTTGTCTCTCCTTGCTTGCTGTCTGCAGGCTATGTACTAGGAAACTTTTTTTATGGTTTGTGTGTGAAGGTAGTTATGTTGTAGCCACGTGATTCCAATACTTCTGAATTAAAGTTTAACTACCACATTTCCGCTCTGTTGCCACAGTCCATGGGAAATATATGGATGGAGATTAGAGATACAGTTGGGGGTTTCTGTTAAGGTTTCCCTGTAGCAGCTTCCACTGCTGCAGTGGCAATCTTCTGTTTAAATTCTCAGTGTTATGTCAAATAAGGGAAGGGGGCAATTCAAAGATGTAACAGTGTAAGTCTGGATCAATATGCAAAGGGATTGTATAACACCTTTGAGACTAACTGAGAGATAGAGAAGTTGGTAGCATAAGCTTTTGTAGACTAAGGCTGCATCAACCCTACGGGAATAATCCAGGTTAACATCACTTTAATTGTCATGGCTCAATGCTGTGGAATTGTGGGAATTGTAGATTTGTGAGATATTTAGCTTTCTGTGTCATACTGCTCTGGTGCCACAACAAACTACAAATCCCCGGATTCCATAGCATTGAGCCATGGAAGTTAAAGTGATGCCAACCTGAATAATTTTTGCAGTGCTGGTGCAACCTTCATCAGAGAGGGAAAGGAAGAAGAGGTTTGTGTTGGAGAGGGGAGGAGGGAAAAGAAGAGGAAAGGAGAGTATGGGCCTTTGCAGACTGCCAGAAATAATGCAGCTTTAGTCTACTTTAACTGCCCTGGCTCAGTGCTAGAGAATCATGGGAACTGTAGTTTTTTCTGTGACATTGATCCTTCTCTGTCAGAGAGCTCTGGTACATTAATAAAAATAAACTATAGTTCCCGTGATTCCCTAGCACTGAGTCAGGGCAGTTAAAGTGGACTCAAGTTGCATTATTTCTGGCAGTCTGCAAAGGCCCTATATTTCTGAGGCTAGTTTCTGGTTTGGCATCCATGATCTGTAGGGAGCCATCATTAGCTTTCCATACTGGGTCTTATGAACTTGGTATTTAGGAACGAAGCTTGAAATGTATTTTATCTTCTAGTACAATGCTGCCTGATGGAGCTGTGCTAGGATTTGACATTGAATGGTCACCAGTCTATACCAGAGGAAAGGAAGGAAAGGTTGCCTTAATCCAGTTGTGTGATTCAGAAGAAAGATGCTATCTGTTTCACATCTCTTCAATGTCAGGTCAGTACAGTTCTCTTTAATTTCTAGTTGCCTTTTAAGTGGATTTGTGAGATTTTCAAGCACAATTTGTTTCTCCGTTGTTCTGTAAATGGTACTCTATCCCAAGAGTACTTTACAGTAAGGCTGTATCCACACTGTAGAAATAATCTAGTTTGACCCCACTTTAAGTGCCATGGCTCCATGCTATGGAATTCTGGGAACTGTAGTTTGTTGAGGCACCTCTAGCATGGAAGCATGGCACTTAAAGTGGGGTCAAACTGGATTATTTCTGCAGTGCAGATGCGCCTAAATTAACACAAATACACATGTTAAACCCCAATTATCCAATTATTATATCAACCAAACTGATTTTGTTTTAATAAGCACATTAAAAATCCAGTACCTCTGATTATATTTTCTATGTTAAGGGAGCATAGTCACGTATGCAGTTCCCTTCTTCCCTGAAGAAGCTGTACAGTGTAATTCTCCTGCATTTAGAAAGGGCTGTGTATCCTTTATGTGGGGGAAATAACTGAAATGTGTTTTCTCAGGACATACTGATCTTCAGTAGTGCTTACCACGATAATCTCTGCTGTTGTAACACACACAGTGGGACAGTGTTATTTTTTAAAGAACAAAGTATCATATTTCTTGATATATCAAGTGAAAAAGACTCAGGAATTAGGCTATTTTATTGTAATTACTTTATTCTGATGTCAGAGGAGAAAGCTGATATATGCAGTGCATCAATTTACAGCTGATTCTGTTTTTACTGAATCATTACAGTCTCAGTGTAGGATGAAACCCAATAGAAATGTCTATCTCTACCCATACAATGCCACTTGGTTTGTCTTTCAGGTCAAAGAAAAGCAATGGCAGGGATTATAGACCAATTTCCTCTATTGCAGAGCAGACCATATTCAAATTTCTCCTACCCATTGTCTCCTCCCATCTGGTCCCAGGGAAGCAGCAGTGATACCAGGCCAAAGAGTCTGTTGCAGCTGCCAGTCTCCAGCAGAACACAGTCCCAAAGGCTTCTGCAGACCTTTGCTCTTACTGTATGAAGATCACTGCCATGTAGTATATGTGGAAGTCCCAGGAGTGTGAATGCATACATGCCCATACATTTACCTCTACACCTTCTGTCCTCATGTCAACCCATTGCTTTTTTCACTTCAATCTCTGTCACACACAAAGGAAGAGGAAGCAATTCCAAGGGTGGGCTGATATCACCCCCAGCACCAGAGGTTTCTAGTTTTCAGTTTTTGGTAACTAAGCAGCAATGTATGCCTAAATGACCTAAAGGCACCAGATTGCATCTGATCTTGGAAGCTAAGCAGAGTTAGTCCTGGTTAATACTTAGATATGAGACTACCAATAAGTACTAGGTTCTGTAGGCTATATTCAAGAGGAAGGAACTGGCAAAGCTACCTCTGAGTATTCCTTGGCTAAGAAAATCCTATGAAATTCACAGGCTTGACATAAATAACAGGCAATGTGAAGGCCCATAAACACACATGAGCATCCACAGGTGGTATTGAAAAAGGTATGTATTCCTTAATTGAATAAACTTGTATTCCATATTTAATCTCTTCAGGCTTTCCAGGGGGATTGAAAAAGCTGCTTGAAGATAACCGTATCAAAAAAGCTGGGGTCGGTATTGAAGGGGATAAATGGAAGCTGATGCGTGACTTTGATATCAAATTGGGAGACCTTATTGATCTGGCTGATCTTGCCAATGAAAAGGTAAGAAGAGAATTTACTGGGGAGAATATGCTATAGAAAGAATTTATAGAATGTCACTTGTGCCATGGAGAAAATCTCTTGTTGTGTGCCTTCAAGTTGTTTCTATCTTATGGTGGTCCTAAGGCAGACCTATCATGGAGTTTTCTGGGGCTGAGAGTGTGTGACTCGCACAAGGTCAACCAGTGGGTTTCCATGGCTGAGCTGGGATTTGAACCCTGGTCACTCAAGAGTCCGAGTCCAGTGCTCAAACTGTTATGCCACACTGGCTCTCAGCAAATCTTGCTGGATGCTTAGAAAGTTATTGCTAAATTATACTTCTTTAGGTATTTGTATATTAAATTCTAAATGTGATATATGATAAAAGGAAATTAGATATCCCAAACCAAGATTTTTTTCTAGGATCAGTGTCCTTGACAGGGCCACACATTTATTTCTTCTTTATTTATATTTAAGTGAATAATACATAAATAATCTCAAATAATCAAATTATCTAAATGTTCCAAAAATCACAAACCTTTGTATTATACAATAAGGTTAATACATGGTGTATAATACAAAGCTTTGTGATTTTTGGAAAATTTAGATAATTTTATTATTTAGGAAGTGTTCTTTTATGTTGGCAAGAAATTCAGGGTGGTCTGTGCTGCTGATATCACTTGCCATCAGTACGTTTGTAGGTGGTATAGGCTGCACTCATCTGCTGTCTTACTTCATAGTAACCTCACTGAGTGGCACATACCTAAGTATAGACTTATTTATGGTTGTGCTGGAAGAAGCATAAATATTCTGTTCACTGTTTGAAATTTCTCACAAGCCCTTTTGGTGTTTCGGTTACCCCATCAAGCCCTTCCCATAGTGCAGCTGTTCACTGTTACTGTCATTTGCTCAGTGTTTTCCTGGCGTTTTTGTTATGTTACCTTAACTGGTACCTGCCTCTATTTAGATTTTCCAAAATTTAAAAAGAGAGGTGGTGGTGAGAGAAGAGTTGACAGTGGGCCCATTTGAGTGGGACATTTGGCAGATGCCCTGTTGTGCTGATGGATAATGATGCCCCTCATGGGGCAGAATACAGATTTGTGTGATGCAGAAAACTACTGTACAAGTCTGTGAAATCTGTTGAATTTAGGAAACATGAGGATTGGGTCATAATAGCTGAAACTTTTACTTTTTTTATTTTCTAAATGTTTACATCCTAAAAATTGGGACTGAGCTTGCTTTTTTATTTTCAAATGTCTTCTTGTCCAGTATTTGTTGAGGTTTCATCTATTGATATTATTAGTTGTTCACTGTATTTAATTTACATCTTGCTTTTCTCCCAATATGTGGCCCAAGATGGCTCAGAATACAGACTGAAACAAAATACAGTCAAAATTCAGTTATAACCAGTTAGAATAGTAAAAAAAAGTTTAAGACCATTCAGTGATTCTACTAGAAATTTAATTTAAAAACTTTTAATAGAAATATGGACAAAAGTACAGCTTCCTTCATTAAAAGACTCTTTTATAGCATCCAGTAAATAGCCAAAAAGCTTGTCTAAATAAAAAGATCTTTG